TTATAAATTTGAATTCGTTGTAATTTGATCTACATTCTATTAAAAAAAAAACTAAGTAAAGTTTGTTTTCCACTTAAGCAAATTTTTCTCTAAAACCATAGATTCTTCAATAAATCTAGCAACAGTCTCTGCAAATAATTAAATTTTACTACTAATTTTATTATTTCAATATTAACATTCAAAGTTAAGTACTTACTTCAAAAAAATTTCGGAATCTAAACTAAATAAATAAGTATACGTATATTATATTGCTGCAACAGAAACAACTCGTAAACGCCAAAAATTAAATTTTCTGGGAGAGTTGAAAAAAAAAGAAACAAATATTTCTTGCATTAAATATTATTTTTGTTCTACATTAATTCTAATTAAATTATTGGAAATATTTTTTCTACAATACCTTTAAATTCATTTTTATTTATAAATAAACGTGTGTAGTAAAAAATGTCTTTAGAAATTTAAATTGCAAAATGTCCTCTAAAAATATTCAAATTTAGAATAAAATTCAAAACATTTAAGTACTTAAATTAAAATTAATATAAAATGTTAAAAATGAACTCTTTTTCAATTCCAACTTTAATTTGAAAGATCTACGGTTCTATTTATTCCAAAAATATTTCATTAAATCCTAGTCAAATCAAATTAAATTCAATATTACTTTAGTTATAAAAAAATTCTACATCTAGCATGTGAAAATTTTACCAAAACAAAATCTATACAGCTGTTCCTATTTTGTTAAATTATTAAAATAAATATTTAAAATATAAATTCTATCTTAATAATATTATGTTTGGTATGTTAAAACGTGTGCCGACTTCATTAATTAAAAGAAAAACCCCCAATATGAAATCAGTTGATTAACCACTCTTGAAATAAAAAAAAAAAAATAGAACAAAACAGGAATCTTAAAAAAACCATTTTCAAATATAACATGAAAATATTTAATTCATACACAATTTATATATATCATTTGATATATATATACATAATACCGTTATATATATGTATATATCGTTATATATATAAATATACTGTTATATATATTCCATATATTAGAACAAAAAGAAATAGACAAGTCACTTTTAAAAATTGTCTAAAACTGTGACAGTTTTCATCTCAACCATAACACAATTATATATATACACATTACATTTACATGCAAACATACATGTATATATACACTTCTTTTAAAATGTAGTACACTTTTATTTAAGAACAAATTTATGTAATCTACGTATATGAGTAAATCTAATATATAAGTAAATATATATATGCATTATATTCACATTTGTTATATTTATAATATAACAATATTATATTTGTTATATATAATATATATATATATATATATATATATATGTATATATATATCTGTATATATCATAAATGTGAATATATAAGTAAGTAAGTCTAAAAAATATTTTCATATTATAAGTAACAAAATTTCAATTTAAATTGATCGAAACAACTATAAAATATTTGACTAAATACAAATTGTGTAGAATGTGTAAAAAAAAAACAAACAAAACCATCACTAATGGACTTTAATTGTCATTTGTTCACAAATCAAAAATAAAAAAAAAAAATCAAATGTACAAATGGCTATAAATTATATTTTTTGACACAAAAAAAAAATAATTAAGTCAACAAATTAATTTCTATAGGTAAAGCAAATTTAAATTTATTTATTCATACTTTGTATGCATATTTAAATTTTCTTAAAATTATAAAAAAAAAAAATTCTTTTTAACAAAACAAGAAAATCCGACGGAAACACACGTGTTTTTCTCATTTTTACCATTGAAATTCTTTTATATAGCTTTGTATTTTAATTATAACAGAAATGGAATGTGTTCTATATTATTTTCTTATTAATTAAGTGCTTCCTCAAATATAGAGAATTCTGGACAATAAGTATATAATAATTATACAAATCTATGTAAGGATTTAAAAATCTCATAATTGCTATTAAAGGAAAGCCAAAATTATTTTGAAAAATTTGTCGAAATTTTTGAATCATTTTTGAATTTTTTCTATAAATTGAATAAAATATATAAGTAAGTAATAATAATTGATAATTTTTTAACAGGAATCATAATTAAGAATAAGTAATATTCTACTTCGTTCCTCGGAGATACATGGGGCTGGTGCATGATATTGTGGACAATCAGCAATTATAATGTAAGTATAGTAATAATAATGAAATACCAAAATATGTATAAGGAATTGAAGTTATTGAAATGTATAACAGAATTTATACGCAACAGATTAGTGTGTACTTATTACCAAATTACCAAGTAACAATTACTACCACATCAAGTTCACTTAATGAAAATTGTTAAAAATATTCCGAATTATAAGGCATTAAATATTATTATAAAAATTTTATAAAATATATTAAAAACTTTTAAATTGAATAACAAGATTTTAGAATATTTTTGACCCAAAAGGATAAGTTCAATTTTAAGGAATTAGTGGGAATAATTACGCACGGAGTAATAAAGCAAAAATATTGAAAAAGTTGGAAGTATGTTTACTAAAAATCCAACATAGTCCAATTTCCTTTCATACTCAATATAACCATGAATTTAGAAATTCATTTCATTCATTTAAAACAAACGGCGTCAAATTGACAAAATAAATAAATGCCAGACAAAATAATTTGTTCGAACATAAATCTATAGCTTGGAAGGAATGGGATTACAATTATTATTATTGGGTCATGCTCAGAAATATACACCTCATAGTCAAATAATCAGAGAAGTATATCTATTATATTGGAAAGTCAATAGCTATCAAACATAATTTATAATCTTACTAATTAAATATTTACTATTTATGTAGATCAAATTTTGTTCATCAACTAATATAACACAAGAATATTTTAATTAAATTAACGAATTGGAGGACATTTACATGAAGAATAACAATGGTCATTTTGTATATATTAAAACTTGATAATATTAAATTATATTTTTAAATAATTTGTTTAATTATTTTTTTAACATGACCATTACATTTATTTTATTACATATAAAATAACATGTATAAATTAATTAAGAACAAAAAATAATAAATAAAAGTATGTTAATAATTTTTAACCCACTCATTTCATGAAATTCTTTATCACTTAATTTAAAAAATTTTTTGGTATTTTTGTATATAAAATATATAAGTAATTATATTTTATTTATGTATTTAATTAAAAATTTATTATAGCGCATTATTTATTTGACATTTTTAATAAAATATAAACAAATTTAATTTAATTAAATTTAATATTGATATTATGAAAAACTGAATGCTTTAATTTATTGCATGCCAATTATGAGTTCAAATTATATAGAGAAGACACAAAAAAAAATGCCATGTTACAGCTCATATAACAGAAATGCAACATTGAATTTTAAATGTACAGATTTGAATGTAATTAAAAATTCTCTAAGTATATAAAAAATTTTTAGTTATAACGGTAAATACATAAATTTATATACGTATATATATATACTAAATAATCACCAAATTAGAGGGCGCTAATTTCAATTAATTTTTATATATTACATATATTATTTATTTTAATTTTAGAAAAAAAAACAAGAAAATTTATTTTTAATTAAGATTATTAAAATTTTTTAATTTTATTAAATTTTATATTTTAATTAATATATTATAAAATATACTAATTATATAAAAATAAAAATATTTTTTTTTATTTTTTTTAAAAAATTTAATTCTAATTTTGCCAAAAATATGTCAAAATCTTTACTGACCATTTATTTTAAATTATATCGCACATAATAATCTTAAATATTATTATTTTTTTTATTTTTTGTAAATTACAATAAATATATTTACATTATTATTATTAAATATGTGTAATGAAATAATTGTACAATGTAAGTAGGTATTTGAAATTATATAATATTTATATATAAGTGTTATACGTATATAATTTAATTGCAATTATTTCGATATATTTTAAATAATAAATAAAAAAGTTGGTATAGGCATAAGAATGTTATTTATTAAAAAAAAATTTAAGTCATTTAACAGATTATTTTCAAAAATTATTTACGTATATACTTAATATTAATAAAATATTTTAATATTTGTAAGTGTACAATAATAATGTGAGTATACCTTGTGAAATAAGTACATCTTAGTATATTATCAACAACATAATACGCAAAAATTGAAATTTAAATTGGAAGAACTTATTTGATGAAATCTAATATAAGTAAGTATAGACGTAATATAATATATAAATGTTTATTATATATATATATAATCCTAATAGGTTTTGGGACAGTAACTTATTAATTATTTAAGTATAAGTATATGCACAGAATGAATTAAAAACTTATTTCGCTTGCAAAACGAAATACAAATAAAATTTACAGTTTCACACACAAAAATTATACAACAACTTAACTTAATTACATTTAGTAAGCCTTACATTATTTGGCCTAAAATTCTAAAAATTTAATTTTACTCTCCCACCAAAAAAATACAATTTTACAATTTAAAACTTTTTAACTTTTCACTATAAGTACATATTCAAGAATATAGATCTACAACATCAACAATTTTGAATACTAAGACAGTAATACTACTTGTACAGAAAAATCAATAAAACAAGGACCTTTACTATGTATATTTAATTCAATTTTCATATTTGCATAAATGGAAACGTAGTACTATACAAATTGATTGATACTATACCTTACCATTTTTTCGAGTAAGGCCCCATAACAAAAATCCTATTAAACATTTAAATTTTATAAATAATCTTGCCCTAAAGAATTGGTTGGTACTTGTACTGCGTAATAAGTAATAATTAATCGAATAGTATTTAAAAGTAATATGATGGTGGAGTAAGGAGCCAAATATTCGACCTTTTATTCAACATTTTCACTTTCTTGTTATTTATATAAACAATTTTTTATTATTTACTTAATTATGTATATGATTATATGGATTAATTATTAAAATAACGTACTTACCACGTTCAGATCTAGTTCGATCTTTAAGTTGTTTAACAATTCCATATTTAACAGTTCCAAATTGTATCATTTTATTGATAGTATCTGCATTTACAATGAAATCACTTCGCATTTCACACAATTTTTTTTTTCTTTTCTGTTTTATTAAAATATCGGAAAAATTTATTATTTATTTATTTATTTTTTTCAAAATATTTAAAATATTATTTATTTTAAATATTTATAATTAACAGAATTAATTTGTAGAAATATGAAAATTTTTTTTTATAAAAAGAAATTTGTTTGTGAATTAAAATAATTTTTTTTTTTTTTGTAAATTTTATTTAATAAAATTTTTTAAAACTTTTCTCTCTTTTCTCAATTATTCTTACATTGCATATTATTTTTCTATTTTAAAATTAATTTAAAATAAAATTTTTATTGTATTTTATTTATTGTTATTAATAATAATAATGTAAAAATTAATTATTTTAATTATTTTGTTTTTTTATTTTCATTAGAACACGAAAAATTCTTGTATAGAACAAAAAAAAAAAAGAAATTCTTAATGTAATCGTGAAAATAAAATAATTTTTTTGTTTGTTTGTTTGTTTAAAAGAATTTCCTTTTAATATAAAATTTAATAAATACTTAATTATATTTTTATTATTTTATGTTATATTTTTATAAAATTCTCTCATGTATATTTCATTTAACACCAATATTTTTCTGTACATATATCAAAAATTAATTCATTTTTCTCTATTAAAAATAAGAAAAGAAAAATATTTTATATAATTTAATAAACTAAATAAATTTCATTCATTCTTTAAAAATGTTATTGTAATTCACGATGTAAATATATATGAATATATAGTTATATTTGTATAACACTTATTTTTTTTTTGTTTTTTAATTTTAAATTATTTTTAATATTTAATTTTGTTTTAATAAAACCAATTAATACCGGCACTGTTGTTTCTGTCTCTTTATATATATGCTTACAAATTAAAATTGTTATATTATATGATAAATTTCAAGTTATTAATCATGAATAAATTAAAATAAAATTTATTACTTTTAGATTTAATATTAATTCAGAATATTTAAGTACATATAATTGTACACAAGTGTATATATTTTCTACTTATTGTTATATAGTTTATAACACATTGAAATTTATGTAAAAAAAATTAAAGGTATATAAAAATTTTTTTGAATATACAAAAAAACACAATTTTGTATAATAAAAAAAAAATATTTAATAATTAAAAAACTCTTTTCCTTTTTTGTTTTTTTTTTTTTAAATTGCACAATAATTTTTTTTTTGCGTATTAATTATATTTAATTAATTTTATAATTATTATATTTTAATTTTTTGTTTTGTTTCTGTAAAAAAATTGCAATTAAATGTTGCATACATACAAAATATATGCATATACCGTTATAATATGCACTTAATTTTTAATATATAATAAGTACTTAGATATATATATATATAGATTTATGTTTACAAACATAATTGTAATATAATATTATAATCATTTATAAGTTCATATAATAATTTCATAAAATTATAATAATAATTATTGTTGACATTGTTGATTGTATTGTTCATATATGTATAACACTTTTATATTCATATTTATTAATTAATTAATAATATTACTTAAATTATGAAATTTTATTAATATTTATTAAATTTTTTCATTATTAATTGTTAATTGTATATAAATGGTATTTTGACTGTTATACAAAATATTATAATTAATTATTTTAAAAATTATATATATATTTTTTTTTTCAAATTTTTCATATTTATTGTTTATATTTTTTATTAAAATTAAATTTATTATTTACATTATTTATAAAACTATTATTATACATTTATTAATTGTTATAATATTTATTATTATATTGTATATAACTTGTATATTGAATTTTTTTTATTCATATTAAACGTGTGAACTGAACACGATTCCATCATCAACTGTCATATCATTTTTAATTTTATTTTTTTTTTTGATTTAAAAATTTATATATAATTTTTTTTTTTTCATATACATATTTCAAAAATATAACAACAAAAATTAAATAAAAAGCAGAAGAAAAAAAAAATTCAAAACGAAACGAAATTGAAAAAAAAAAAAAAATGAAATATGTATAAAAATTTATGTATGTATGTATATATGTTGTATTATTTTAACATACTTTTATACATATATATATATGTATATATATAGGTAAGTATAACAAAAATTATATATGAGAACTCATATAATAATTTTTTTTTGTCTTCGTTTCTCTGTTTTTATTTATTATTTATTCTTTTTTTTTTTTGCTTTTTTATTTTTTGTTCGTTTTCTTCTTCTTCTATTTCTTCTTTTTCTTTATTATTATTATTAAGTATAATATTTTGTTGTTGCACATATACCTTTATTTGTATGCATATAATATATATATATATATTTTTTTTAATATTGATTGTTATTAATGTGTGTATATTTTAAGTAATATACATAAGTTATATACAAATAGTAGTTATAATTTATTTACAAAATTTTTGTTTAAAGTAAACAATTTTTTTTTAATTTTTAATAAATTCCTTGTATATAGTATATATATATATATGCATTTCACTCATACAATTTGTTTTTATGTAAATTTATGTATTGTATATTGTAATGTGTTTTTTTTTTTTATATTTTGTTCTACTTTATTTAATATTATTATAATATATAACATTATTTATCGTCATGTATAACAGAAAAATATTGACTTCTATTGTATATAATATTAAATTTGAATCTATGCTATAAACACGATTTGTTTTGATCTTTCATCCTTTCTTTATCTCTCAGCTGGACAGTTATATTAATTTAATGTATACATATATATATATATTGTTTGATTACATATATTAATTCTATGTTTACTTTTAATATATATTTATATTAAATTATGATTTATTAACTTTTATTCATATTTATTCTTAATTGTGAAGTTTCTGTTGTTTATTTGTGTATTTATTTATTTGTTTTATATAAAAATAAAAATTAAATATTTTCATACCTATGTTTTGTATTTTTATTTATTTTATTTAAAATTATTTGTTTTTTATTAATATTTAAATGTTTATTATTTCCTTTCCTTAATTACATACATATATTTCTATTTTATTATTTATGAAATTGTAAATTTATATTTTGTATGTATATATAGAAATATTTATTACACATTTAATAATTATTAATTTGTACTTGTAATTTAATAGAATTTAATATTAGGAAAAAAATAAAAAAAAAAAATTTTAATTTTTCTCTTTTTTTTTTTATTTATTTAAAAACGAAATTATTTTTTTTCTTCGCTTATTTTCTTATATTTATTATTATTAATTTTTCTTCCATCATTCCGCCGTTAAAATAAGTTTTGTTGTGTTAACAGAACGCACGTTGGAATCACACTGACACACCGTTAAACAAAAATCACTCAACATCACTACCCTCAAAACTTTTTTATTTTTATTTTTTTTTTTGTTTTTCATATTATTTCTGTCGTTGCTTTTTTGCTTTACTTGCCTATACATCTCATATTAATATACAACAAGAAGAAAATAACAAAAAGAAGAAAAAAAATTATACACCGCACCATAAAATTCACAGTGTATTGCTTTGCTTTTAGAGTAAAAAAAAAAAAAAAAACAAAATAAAAATATAATAACAAGAACAACAAGAAAAAAAAAAATTATATTAACCAAACAAAACATCGAATAAAAAAAAATTTTCAATTTTTTTTCAAAAACAACAACACAAACAGAGCAATAGAAAAATTATAAAATAATAATAATAAAAACACAAAACAGAAATACATAAATAAAAAAAAATTGAAAGACGGCAAAAATATAAATATTTTTATTAAAAAAAGAAAAACTAAAAAAATACAAAAATATAACAATATAACAAAAAGTATGAAAAACAACAACAACAAAAAAAATTATATTTTGTATACATACATCAAAAATGTTAAAAAAAGCAAAACCTCAATACTCATAAACAAGAAATCATATTTATGCACACACACTCATAAAAAGAAGTCAAAAAATGATCAAACAAACAGAAAAATAAATAAAAGATAAAATATTCAAGAAAAAACGAAAAAAAAAAAACAATGTATAACAAATAAAATAAAAAAAAAATTATATGATATTAAATGAAAAAGCTAAGTAAAAAAGCAACAAAACAAAAAAAAATCCAACCGATACATAAAAAGAAAAAGAGAGAGAGAAAAAACGGAAAAAATTACAAAAAAAAAAAATTTTTTTTGAAATGAAAATCATGTTTAATAAATTCGAAAATATGAAAATGTCATAAAAACATACAGAAAAGCAAAAATCTACAAATATGTATGTATATATATATATACATGTACTGTAAGGATTACAGTAACTACTTCTATATACTGTTAAACACACACAAAACCACATATAATAACTTTTTCCGTTTCTTTAATTTTAAATTCTCTCGTTTTTAAAATTAAAATTCTCTTTCTCTTGACTCGTTTTCTGCCTACTACATATTACAATAATAATATTTTCTCTCTCATTATACTCTTTTACTTTATTTCTTTTTTCTCATTTTATAAAGAGATATCATTCATTATTCATAAATAGTGTTGTTCAATCAACTAATATTATCCGGAAAGGTAAAAAAGGAAAAAAAACACAAAACTGTTATAAATTTTACAGTTTTTCTTTTTGTTTTTTTTTTTATCTCATATATTTTTTTACTCTTTATTTTATTTTCTTCTTTCTTTGTTCATTTTTATCTTTAATATTTCTCAACTAAATTTTTTACTACTATATATATTATATTGTAATACATATAGTATAACAAAAATAATTCGATTCGATAATTTATTATAAATCAAATACGTGTGTACGATGAGTTTTGAAATATTTGTGAAGTTTTTTTCTTTTATTATAATTTTCGAAAAATTATTTCTCTCTTTCTCTTTCTCTCTCTCTATCTCATGTATAAAGTATATTATTGTTTATTATGTGTTTGTGTATTTTTTTTTGCTTAGCTTTAGTTTTGCGCATACTCAATTGTTTTTTTATGAAAAAAGTTTTGTATATTTTTTTTTTGTTATATCAACTGTTATATTCCGTTTTTTTTTTTATTATTTACAGAATGTAAATTTAATA